TGTCTGCATCAAAGACATCACACTTCTTCAGTTTCCCAGTATGTCACATGTGCCATACCTTGAATGGTATTTATGGAAGGGCTGCAAGCTTTTATCAAAATAATAGAAAACCCATGAATTTATATTTTGCTGCCAGTAGTTGCGTAAGGGGGTAACAAAGTGTAATAATAATTTTCTACACAAAGCAAATTAAGCTGGTATTTAGTTTACTGATTAGTGATTATTGAATAATTATTTGCTATCATTGTATCCACTGTTACTAATTCCATCCCAGAGAAGCAGAGGCTTGCTGAGAAATCAGTGAGCTGCAGGCTAAAAATGAACTAAGGGAAGTCCACCACAGAAAATGCAAGGATTAGGGGCACTTAGTGCCATGGGGCATCAGGAGGGCCAGGAGCAGCGCCAGAGGACACCAAAGCTGGGCACAGGGATTCCTTACGCCCCTGCTGCTCTCCATCATGGGGCTCACAGCTCATGCCACACATGACATTATTTTAGTGTGCTTAGACACAATGTTTGGCTAAACATGTCTGCAGCTCCGCTGAATCACATCTCCACCAAAAGTTTTATCTGCAGGGTTTTAGGAACACAGGAGGAGCCGTGATGGGGCAAGCCCTGCACTGGAATCGCACCTGGGTGCTGAGCGCCCTGTTGCTCAGGCAGGGATGCTCCTGGGTGCCGGATCTTGCACCGTGCAGCCCTGGGCTCAGCCGCTCCTGCCAGGCATCACCGTGACTCAGCCCACACATGGGATCTCCCAAGGAGCGGTGGGGGCTCATTTGTCCCAGCACACCTTGCTTCACACTCCATTAAATTCTCAAACTCCCTTCTTGCAGCCGGTGGTCAAAGCAACATGTCAATCACAGTCTTTGGGGACATCAGCATCTGCTATGAGCCAGAGCAAACACTTACGGGGTGGGGCAACACCAGTAACCAGAGGGAAAGTTGTTGGTATTGCTGCTAGAAGTGATTTTTAAAGAGGAGCAACATGATTTTCCAGCTGAATTCTATTATCTTGGGATAAGTTTACTGATTGACAAAGCGAGGGGCAAATGATCAGGTTGGTTTCCCATCTGAACAACTATTTGATGTTACCATCAGTATTGCTTCTCTGTTTTAAGCTCCTCTCTTTCCCCACTTTTAACATCTCCATATTTTAGACCTGGAGAAAAAAAATCTGGGGTGAAACAATTCACATTATGCCTTTACAGTTACCACCCCCTGCTGGGTTGAAAAGGAAGCTGTTTGGAGATGGATCAAGCTCACGTCTATGCCTTCTCATTGCAATTATGCATTTCTTGAAATCAAGAGCAGTCTCTACTCCAAACACCTACATGGCTGTACCGGGGAGCTATCAGCTGGCTTTTGAGCCACCTTTCCATGCAAGCAGTGGTGGTGGCGACAGCAAAAGTACCTGCTCTGGTTTCCTATGTCAGAAAATGCCACCCTGTGGCACTTCTTTTTTCTTGAATAACCTAATAATGTCCTGAAGAGACACCAGGTTCTCTGCAATGCCAAACAAGCCAGCGTGGAAGAAATTACTTTGTCTGGAAGCCATCACGTGGGGCAAAGCCAGTTTAAGGTAACTCTGTATCTGAGTTACTGAAGTGTCGCCCCCATCAGTCACAAAAAAATGCAAGCAATTACTAAAACCGTAAGTTTGTGATCATTGTTTTTGTCAAATGTTTCAGTCCGCTTTTTATTTTAAGCATTAAAATGAGAAGCTACCAGAGGCAGCGAGATCAGAGCTGTGGGCACGTCCCCAGAGCGGGTCGGGCCATCTACCTTGTTCTCTCCTGGCTCCTGTATTAAGGCGTCGTTAGAGCTGCAAGGCTCAGCAGTGGGTTGAATCATTTCCTGAGCTATGTTTGTAATACCTCATGCTAAAAATAGCGTGTGGGGGGTGGGGGTGGGAAACAAAGCTAATGGGGAAATATTCTCTTCCAAAATAAGGGCTTTGCATGGCTCAGCAAGGTACAGGGCAGCTATTCTCAACTTCTTCTGAAGCACCAACCACTGGCCAGGGCTGGCAGGTATCAGCATGGAGAAACATCTGTCCCAAATAAGTTTCCTGGTGTTACTCGTATAAATGTAGCCATTTTATTAGTGTGCTCAACTTCTCCTAAACGAGAAAGCAAATTACTAGGAATATACTACTCATAACCACGTGCTAGCTCTCATATGAGAAAAAGATGGGTATAAATACACTATTCATCACAATAAGTGGAGAGCAGAATTACTTCCAGTGGAAGCAGCATGGTGTCCAGTGTGTTTTGATTGGTGATCAGCTGGGGGTGACAGCCTCGCGGAGAGCTGGGACTGCACTGCAGGGCCAGGGGACAGAAATCGTGGACCTTTCCAAACCAACGTGGGTGAGAGGAGTGGGAAGGGGCAGCGGGTGGCTGGGGGAGACGCTGGCCATCTACACGGAGCAGGGTCTGGGCTCACCACTCCCCAGCTGAGCCACGGCTCCGGCAAGCGCAAGGCAGCCAGCAGCATTGCCGCAGTGTGAGCACGCGCGGGGAGGACGGGAATCCTGCCCTGAATACGAAGCGTGAAATCCACGTCCAAAAAAATTTCAAATAGTGCATAATGTAAGCATTCAGTGGATTTCCTAACCAGGGATCTAGCATTGAGGGCGTTAAATTAAACATTAGGTGACTTAGCATGCTGTACAAGGAAGCCTGGGAAATGAGAAATGCAGGGGATAGAATGCATTATTTACCATTTCAGTTTTTCCCCAGTTTTGAACGCGTAAGAAGGAACAAGCGTATGCAGTGCTTAGAGGGGGACACAGTGTGGCCAAACTCTGCATTTGCAACAACTGCCTGCTATTCCTGCTTGGTCCTTTTACATGGATTTCTCCATCCAGCCTCTCACTAACTGCACTCCTGCCGCTTTCCATCTGCAGCCAGAAACCCTGCCAAGGCTGCTCCACGCCAGGCTGGAGCCCCAGGGCAGGGCATCACCTAGTCCATCCTCCACCCCGGGAGTGCCGGAGTGCTCTGGGAGCCGCGCAAGCCAGCTCCCCCGCATCAGAGAGCAGCCCCAGTCCTCTGCTGCTTGGAGCAGGTGGAAGCCCCCCGAATTCACCTTCAGCCTTGATGATGATCCAAAGCACTCGTCCACTTCAGCTTCTCGTGACTGCCCGAGGACCTGAGGCCCCTGAGCAGGGTCATGGGGCTGGGAGCATGGGACTTTCCTGCAGCCTTGTGACAGTGGAAAGCAGGACCAAGCCACGCTGGAACTGAGTTTGACTTGACTTGTTACCTTGAAGGATGATGTTTTACTTCTATCCCAATGCCTTCTGCTAAAAAAAAATATATATATATATACATGCACTAGGACTGACACTGGCGAAAACTGCAGCTAAGCAGCACCATTTGCTCCAGGGTTTTCAGTTCAGAGTATCCTGCTCTGTCTCAGCAATGTAATCAGCTATCTGGGATACGAAGGGGCAGTCTCGTGATGTGGCAGGGGTTGAAAAACATTAGCTAGCACTCCTGTTGGACCTCGCAGGGAGAGGCATGCTTTGCATCTTCCTCAGAATTTAAAACACAAGGATGCATTGAAAGAACCTGCTTTGGAAGATTTTAAAGAACAGCACGAACTGAAAAAGCAGCTGCCAAAATTAATTTCCAGCATTAAAAATCAGCACTGATGAGAGCCATCTTAGATCAAATAATTTATTTAGTAATTCCATGTAAACACTTCAGATTTACTAGCAAATACAATGCTTGCTGTTCTTTTAAATAGATGATTCAAAAAATAAGAATCTATTATTAATGGCAGGTTGACTAGAGATGTCCATACTACTGTACAATAAGGAATTTGTTTTCTAATGGATTTAACATCTCGATTTTTCTTGTTCTGCATTTACTTTACACAAAGCCCAAAGGACACACGTTTGAACTGCTCCCTGATGATGCCACTGCGGACTCGGGTGTTTTGGGGAAGGTACGTAGGCAAATCCTCCCATCCTGGCATTGGTATAAGCTGATGTGAGAGTGGGGGTGGCAGAACTTACGTGAACACTGTTCACAAACACACACCTTTTCGGTCAGAAAACAGAAAATGAAGGGTGGAGAACTTCTCTTTGGGATGTATAAAAGCAACGAACTCCATCGTTGGCATTTACTTATCAACACAGCAGTACACATACACGTATCCACAGTCTTGGAAAATCATCCTATGAGCTGGAGAAAGCAGTGATTCTGAGGCTTGGTACACCAGTGCACTAAAACCAAAAGAATGATACCTTCTTACATAGTCAAATGAAAAATAAATATCTTTATTTTCTGCCTACTTTATTTCAGTTTTCAAATAAATTTTAAATAAATCTGTACAAAGTATACTGTTACAGTATATATTCATAAGTTAACTGAAATGCCTAAGTGTAACAACACTACAATAAAGCAGTATAGATTGGCACATCTCTAATAAAGATTAACTTTTACACTCAAAAAATACCAATTCCCGTGAAAATCCTTGGTATATTTTTGGTATTTTTATGCAAGTTATGTTGCAAACATATTACAGACCAATTCTCCCCTGCCTTAAAAAGAAAATAACTTCTAACGGTTTTTCAGAGAACGTGAACATCTTTATGCTGTTAAAGGGACACCATCAGGCTAAAAGAGAGAGAGAGAGACATTTTTTTAAAAAAAGTAAAAACTTTGGTCAAAAATTTGCAAGTTTTAGACTTTGAGCACTTTTACCCATCTCGCTGAGCTCCGACTGCAGTCGGTGCCAGGGATGGCAGGACCGTGGCAGCACCACCAGGCATCTCAGCTCTCACTGGGACTGGAGAGACCCCGTGCCCCCGGCCAGCTGGCTCCTCGCAGTGGCTGGATTTTGGCAGGA